TTTTAAGAGTTTTAGCCAAATGTTTTATAATATAGTATAGATATTTTTTTATAAAGGTAATATAATTCAATGATTATCTTTTAATACAATTTAGATTTTTTTATATTTAAAATGAGATACGTATCTAGTATTTGATTGTATTTATCTGCGTTTAATTACACGAATTCAAATGTGAAGGTTTAATAAGTTATACATACATACAGTTTACTTGTAATTTTAAATAATTAATATTAATATATTTATTTCACGTTAAATTAAATGGGGATTTAATCATTTAAAAACCACATATATTGTGATAACTATGATAATCTTTATGATAAGGTATTGTTTCGCATCATTTTTCCTATTTAAGACTACAACGTAATGAATTTACTAATATATATTCGGTTCACAATATAAAACTTTTAGTTGTATTTTTTATTTCACAAACACATAAATGACCTTCACACCATGAAACAAATATATGTTAATCAATACCTTAAATACAAATCACAGATGGAAAAAAACGTGTGAAATAAGATCTGATGCACCAATACACCGATACATCAGGTTAAATACACTTTTATACATTGTTTTTTTTTTTCATTTTTTATCAATTTTTAAAAAAATGTTTTCAAATTTCCCTTAGATCAAGAAAAAACATAAAAGATTACCCAAAAAAATACTTTCTTATTTTAGGAGTTGTTTGTTTATCTCTTAATAATTCTATTAAAAGACAGTATCTGAATCGTTAAGAGGTGAATCTTGTTTGTCAAAAATAATTTCATGCATTCCTTAACCATCGAGCGCTATAATTTTATCGTAAACAATTATATTTCATTTTACACTCTATCATGAAAATCTTTCAATCATTTTAATCAATGATTATTTTGATTTAATTATGTCCTAAATAAATAAATCCCCTCTACTTATTATTATTGTTTGTTATTAAATTATTATGAGTCTTATTTTTATTCAATATATTTTCTCAACCAAAAATCAAACACAATAATTCTAAAAATGTTCATTTTGGTTATATAAATATTAAAATTATATATCTTCTAATTCATGAATAACAAAATTTC